CTCTCCAAATAGCTTGTTCGAACGCAGAAATGCTAAGGAAAGAGCGTTATATGATAACGAAACAAAGATGGATGAAGACGAAAATAATGCCTCAAATAACACCCCTTTCTTAACTCCTAAGAAATTTAGCAGGAACTTCCAAAACTTGATTAAGGAAAAATCTAAAAAAACCCTCACCACAACGAGAAACAAATTTCAACCACTTACCGACGAGTCTGAGTCAGATACAGATGACGAAATCGGCAAAATAGTGAAAAAGAGGAAGAAAGGGCTTAAATTCAAACCCATAGAGCCGGAATCCAACGCAGAGAGAAACACCACCAGACAGACTACTATGAGTGCAAATACTTCAAAATTTGCCAAAACAGAAGCCAGATCGAACAAAAATAAAAATACTATGCCGCCAATAGTAATCGACGGGAGAACAGCTAACCAGCGAGACTTAATCAAAGACCTGAAAGACATAGTTAAAGGTGAATTTAGTGTTAAACACACGAACTATACCACAATAATATTCACAGAGTGTAAAGAAGATCATGAACGTGTGCTCTCAAACATAAAATCTGAGAACATGCCATACCACACATATACTGCCCGAGACGACAAAACACACGCCTTCGTCCTCAGAGGTCTTGCACAAGGGACGAAAATCACAGATATCGAGGCAAATCTCGAGGAAGAACACGAGATTACCACAAAAGCCATCTATCAGATGAAAACAAAAGAACGCCCCCTATTTTTGGTCATTACGGATCCGGTAATAACTCTTGATTATCTGAATAAAAACACACGAAGAGTACTATATACCAGGGTAACGTGGGAGCTCAGGAAGTCGACCAAAATGATTATACAATGCCATAATTGCCAACAGTGGGGGCATGCCACGGCAAACTGTGGTAGACAGCCACGATGCTTAAAATGCGCTGGTGACCACCATACCAGTACCTGCACAAAAACCACAGACACACCAGCTAAGTGTGTAAACTGCGAAGGAGATCACCCCGCGAATTATACAAAGTGTGAGAACTATATCAGTAAGCTCGAAAGAATGATGGAAAGAAGGCCCAAACAAAATACTAATAAAAAATTTGTCCCCGCTCCTCAACCTGCCATCAACCAATGGGAGGCCAGGAGACAGAATCGGAATTTTCAAGAAGAATTCCCAGCGCTACCTAATAAAAAAATCCAGGAAACTTCAGAACTATTAAGAATACCAGCTAGAGGAGCAGAAAACCATAGAAATGCCACCCCCAATGTGGCCATGGACCAGTTTACGGCCCTAAATCAAGAATTTCAAAAATTAAACTCATTAATCAATATAGGCGAATTAACCAGAGCAGTCAGAGCACTGAACGCCAGACTTATTAATTGTACAACGGGAAGAGAGGTAATAGAAACTTACAACGCGTTCATGACGGACGTTGACTTTAACTTCAAACTGTTGAACTAAAATCATAACTTACAACACAGTAAATTCAGTAACATTCGCTAAAAGACATTGTAAAATGCTTCTGTGGCTGTTTATGTGACTGCGGAAGCGCTTTTTCTCAGACTAACGTAGATTTCTTTGATCTCTATGTTTTTCGGGGAAATTGGCGTGAGCAGGGGCATGAATGACTGCAGAAATGCACTCATTACGGACAAATATGACTGAAAACAGGATAAAATTTGACGTACATCCTCCATAGCAGCTACGACCACACTGAATAGTCAAATCACTACGACAAATAGTTACCAACTATAGTCGGACGGAAGACTGCACGGTGACGTCACTGCTCGGTGCGAAGTTTTTGGCCTGCCGGAACCTTTGTGTCGAGTGATGGTTGAACGGTGTAGTCTTGTGATTTGACTAATTCATGCACAAATTAACACGTAAACATACATCTAGGACAACCCTGTTTTTTCACTTGGTTTTTCAGGGACGACAGACACAATTAAAATCACACAAAAACTCATTACTATTCCATTACTGATCTGGTTAAAAGCCTATACTGATTTATAATGCTGTAATACAGCAAGGAGGAATCACGGAAACCATAATTCTAACATAAGCAATATAGGTATACGGCCACGACATCGGTCATGGCCCCGTTGGGGTCATCGCAGAAGAGGAATACTTCCGGAATGCGCCTAGGAAGATATCCGTCTGTAAATAAAATATATTTGTATTGTGATTGAAATTGTATTTAATTTGTAAATATGTAAATAAAGATTTTGAAATGATGAATGAAAGCGATTTTTCGCACTCGACCGAGGCACCTCCGGGTGGTTTATAGCTCACCCTCTCAGTGAATTATGACAAAAAACCACAGACTACCACAGACCACCCATCACGAACGACAACCCTGTTTTTTCTAGCTTTTTCAGGGGACAATAACGAAATTAAGACACGACAGACCTTTAAAATCATACAATTCCCGATTACAATCCCACCTAATCCCTTAATAATACCCCACGGGTAAGGAGTAGGGGCGGCTATTTTTATAGCAGAAGACATAATGTAGAAATGTGAATGCATATATCGCCTTAGGCCATAATTGTAGAATTAGGGTCGCATTCTGTACTGTGTACAGGATGTTTTGTATTATGTATATATGTTGTTGTAAAAATTTTTAAAAGTGAATAAAATGTTTGAAATGAAAATGAAATGAAACGTTAAACTCAAAATTAATTTAGTCTGCCAGAACTCTCTACAAAATCACATTTGCGTGCATTCGGTATTTCGAAAATAACGTAGTTGGTAATTAGCGTAAGGACCCTATTGGTGCTTGCCCGATCTCTCTAATGTTCGTAATGTAACTTAGGACCGATTCCACCGTTGTGTTAAACGTAGTTTAAAATGACATTTTTACATTAACAATGTAATTTTAATCTCCGTTTAACACAACGGTGGAATCGGCCTCTAAGAACTTAACGTAGAACAGAAGTCACAACGGTGGAATCGGCCCTTAAGAACTTAACGTAGAACAGAAGTAAAAGTTGGAAAGGCTTTTGCCAGTTCTCCCACTAAGTGTTCTGTGTCTCCCACTTTATACACATAAATTGACAAGTTTGCAGCGGATCTCATCGAAGTGGACGCGATACATTGGCCTTACAAAATTATTTTATAGATGTTAACAATTTCGAGTAAATAGTTTAATAAATTGTGAATAGCTGTTGAAATTTTGTAAAATTATGATTTGAATATTATAATAGGTTTGTTCGTAGAGCGATCCACAACCGTTTCCAACTGAACAGCGCAATCAGCGCATGTAGGGATGTTGCGATACCAGTAAAGTATCGATACTGGTATCGAATAGAGTATCGGAACCAAAGTATCGATACCGGTATCGAAAGGCTATCGGAACGAAAGTATCGATACCGATACCGGGAAGAGTGTAGACAAAAAAAAAGGTCATATTGTCCGCCGACACACCATAAAGTGATCCTACAATATACTTTTTCTTTGTATTGTAAAGTCAAAACTAGTAAAATATTGAAACGAAAGTAGTAGTATCGAAACAAAAGTAGTACCCATATGAGTAAAGTATCGAAAGCAAAGTATCCAGTACTAAAGTATCCGGTATCGAAAGAAAAGTATCGATACCAGTATCATATCAGTAGAACAGAAGTAAAAGTTGGAAATGCTTTTGCCAGTTCTCCCACTTTATACACATAAATTGACAGGTTGGCAGCGGATATCACCGAAGTGGACGCGATACATTGGCGTACAAAATTATTTTATAGATGTTAATAACAATTTCGAGTAAATAGTTTAATAAATTGTGAATAGCTGTTGAAATTTTGTAAAATTATGATTTGAATATTATAATACATGTTTAATAATTATTTATAATCCATAAATACATGCGATTGTCCGGTTCCGCAGATAGCAATTTTAAATTACTTATTCTATGAAACGACACTGGCAGGTAAACATTACTGCGAAATTCTCGGAGCCGCCCGACGAGGTTTGACGTTTACCCCCTCTCTACCTACCAAAAGACTTTTCAACTTTTACTTTCTCTATAGTATCGCAACATCCCTAAGCGCATGCGCATTGATTATTTTGCGTTCGTAGAAGAATCACTGAGAGTTTCCAATTATTAATTTGGTGTTCGTAGAAACAAATGAAGTAATTGCCAACTGGGGGTCGATTCTCGACTTGTAGGAACCTTTTCCTATAGGAATTTGTGACACTTTCCTATGTGTAGGAAAATTTATGACATTTTCCTACATATAGGAAAGTGTCACAAATTCCTATAGGAAAAGGTTCCTACAAGTCGAGAATCGACCCCCTGATTGGAAACGGTTGGAAAAATCCCTGATTATTCTCCGAATTTTAAATCCGGGGCATGCGCACATGAATTATTTTTAATAACCTACAATTTGACATTTGTTTGGCTTAAAATTTATGTCCGTTTATGTGTTTTTAATTCGTCAATACTTATATTGATTTGATTAGTTGTTTTTATAAGTGTAATTAGTACAGATACATAACAATTAATAAATAACATAAGACCACAAAGACCTACCATTCAGTATCCTGATAAAATATCAGCCTTTAACTTTAAAACAGGTAATAAAAGTAAAATATGTTGATAAAATGGGAATTTGGGTGCAAATTATAAACACAATTTCTTCTTTTTTTTAACCGTTTACTAAATCATATCTAATTCACGAGAAAAGTAGAGAAGAATCCACAACTATAACATGCGTTCACAGAGCATAAAAATGACAATAAATCCCAAACCGTTGAAAATCGCGCATGCGCATCATAAAAGAATCACCAACCGTTTGAAACTGTCTCTACGAACAAACCTAATACATGTTTAATAATTATTTATAGTCCATAAATACATGCGATTGTCCGGTTCCGCCGATAATTTAAAATTACTTATTCTATGAAATATGAAACGACGGCAGGTAAACATTACTGGTGAAATTCTCGAAGCCGTCCGACGTGGTTTGACGTTTACCCCCTCTCTACCTACCAAAGGCCTTTCCAACTTTTACTTTCCCTATAATCACAGAACACTTACTCTATAATCTCTGAAATATAACACGCATGCTCAACTCTTACGTTACGGACCTGGACATTCTAATTGAATAACTGAAAAACATGAGGCCATTTGATCCGAGTTACAGAAACTAAAACATCAAAGTGACATTAGATAAGAAGAAATTGGTTTGGTTATGTTATATAGCAAGGTAGGTAAATGGTAAAATATTGTGGTTGTGGAGAATAGAATGTCTCATTTATTACATTTTTACAATATTTTTAGAACGATAACTTGCAGGATGTCAGCCAAATCATCTATAGAAATTATTCAAGAAGGCACGCAAACATCTTTGGGACTTATTCAACAAAACACCCAAACTATCAAACGAACCATAGACACATTAACAAATGAAGTAATGTTTTACAATCATTGAAATAGTAAATATTTTAATGATTTTATTTCTAGCTAAATGAACTCAACAAAGAATACAATATTTTGGTAAGCAAACAATTACGTGAAGAGAATACTCAACTTTTGGCTGCAGTAGAAGAGGCTAAAAAGAAGTTGGTAAACTTGGAAGTCCAAAATGGGGTTAAACAAATTCCAATCCCAAATCAAACAGTCAACGCTTCTGTTATTGAACAACCTCCTTCAGTTGATACTGAATCTGTAGGACAAGATGCTTCAGCAGCAAAAGAAAAGCCTAAAAAGGAGAAGAAAGAAAAGAAGCCCAAAGAACAAAAGGAACCTGTTGGAGAATTACCCGTGGATGTAGGAAGGTTAGATTTAAGAATTGGAAAAGTTTTGGATGTTCAAAGGCATCCAGATGCAGATAGTTTATATGTTCTTAAGATAAATGTTGGGGAAGAGAAGCCTAGGACTGTATGTTCTGGACTGGTTAAACATATTCCTATTGATGATTTGAAGGATAAAGCTCTCGTTGTTCTATGTAATTTAAAACCTGTGAAGGTAAATTGCATTAATTTAGAAAATGAGTATCTGTTATATTACAAATATTTCACTATTTTAGATGCGAGGTATAATATCAGAAGCTATGGTAATGTGTGCTAGTTCAGAGCAAAGAGTGGAAACACTAATTCCTCCAGAAAACAGTGTAGCAGGTGAACCAGTACATTGTGAAGGTTTTACTAGACAATCAGATTCCATTATGAACCCAAAGAAAAAAATTTTTGAGACTGTGTCACCAGATCTACACACCAATGATAATTTACAGGCATGCTATAAGAATTCTCCTTTCCTGGTATTTGGAAAAGGATTTTGCTTGTCTAGAAGTTTGAAAAATGTGCCAGTTAAATAATTTTGTTTTCTGTTTGATAAATTATTAAATTAATATTATATGTCTTTTTGTTCTATAACTCATAATAAATCCAACACTACATTTGCCAATGTCTTTGAACATGTCATTCATTACAATTTAATAAACGCAAGAAAAAGTTAGTGGAGTCAAGTGTCAGATCTTCCTTCAGTTACGGTATTTATTCTAAGGGTCAGTCTTTTCACCTCGAGTAAAGTTGAAATTAACTACTTGCTGATTAGAGGACTATAGGCTATAGTTTCGTTGATCTGCCAAGTAATTGTATGTGTAACTTTACTCAGAGGTGAAAAGATTGGCCCTAAATATTATTAAAAAGTAGTTGAAATAAAACACTTGAACATCTGCAAGAAAGCTCATTAGTGTAATCATTGACTAATGGTACGACAATTTAATGAGCCAGCTTGCAACTGAACAATTCATATTTTCATTATTTTATTGGAGATAATATTGCTGAATGATACACCAATGATTTTTCATAATTCATTTATAAACATTGAAACATGTTTAATGTTAAAAACGTGATCCTAATAAAAGGAATCTACTGAAAAATAAAAACGTACACGGTCTTTAGGAAGCCCTAAAACTAAAATTAATAATATGTGCATTTTGAAATAATTTACAATATAAATATACAAATTTTTATTTTCATCATCACTAAGGTCAATACCTCGAGGAACCACTTCCAAGGTGTTTATACCACACCTGAAGACAGAAAAGTAAGGTTAAGATTAGATTCTTTATTGTTTAAAATGTGCAGACGACTATTTTTGATTAGTTTCAATTGGATACCAAATATATAAATAATAAACAAAACTCTATTTAAGGGGTATGTTAAAAAATAAAAAGAAATAGGGTCAACAATAACAATGTCTCCTCCGAACTGTTCCTCAGTCCACTCCTGTCTTTATTTTTCTAAGAAAACATTCAATTAGGCATTTATTTAGAAGAAAATTGGTATTAAAAAAGTATTAATTAATATTCCTGCTCAAAATATCGGCAAATAAATAACTACATATTATTACAAAGTTTCCAAATATATTCAGGAGGGAATATTTGCCTTTTCTTCTCATAATGAATATCTAGTTATAGTGGTCTTTGTTCTAGTTAAATTGTCTCGTCTGACTTTTGTGGAAGTTTTCAATTTCAAACAGAACATATATGAAGTTTCTGTCCCCTAATTTATTAGATAATGATGTTCCAAATATTTTTTATTATGTACATGGAACCGCCTAAATGCAATTAGGGGATTTGTGTTTGTGTAAATAATTTTACTGCTAGTAAACATACCAATCATCTAATTACGAACACTTTAAAAATATATTTTTTTTTTATTTGCCTTTTAATATATAAAACCTAACCATCTATCAAAGTTAAAAAAAAAATAGATTGGTAGACCCTAAGTATTTATTTAAAATTCACATCGACAACTACAAAAATTTAAAATTATATTATCAGTAAATTTTATTTAGCTACCACACCACTTAATTCATTGTCCAGAATTGTTAAAATAAAGAACAGACAGTTAATTATTTTTATATTTCACTCTTCCTTCAATACACACAGAGATGGGATGAATAAGAAAATACAAGTAAACATTTAACAAAATTTAAATTCTTTTGGATTTATTGGTACACGTGACGAAGTATGTGAGACTTTAAACTTTTGCCAAAGTACTTAAATGGTAAAGTTTCATATGGACTATTCATTTTTTTTATTGTTTTAGCTCATTCATGCACAAAAACAAACATGAAACCAATATTATGTAGAATACTAAGTGACAAAATGTTAATCAAGTTTGTAAATCAATAAATTTTAGGACTTAATTCTGGAATAATAAATAAGAAATTACTTGTATTCTCATCCAGAACTCGCTGATATGAGTAATGTTTTCTCTAGAAAATTTAAAATTTGATTTTTCATAAAACTCAATTAAAATGGAGGCAGATATAGAATATACGGTTGGTTTTTTAGAACCTATATTTATATCTTAAAGCAGTTTAAATTTATAAATGCATTTTCAAAAAAACTTAAAAGTGGTAAATCGTAGAAAGAAATTACTGCCATATGAGCTGTTTTTTAAAATGCATTAAAATATGTATAAAAAAAACTTTTATTATTTGATACGTATACTCGTATTTCAAAACCGCACTCAAGCTGAAGCACATTTCTCTACACAGATGAGAGCCTAAGGCATTACTCATGGACAACTCTTTATACTAAGTGATTGTTAGTTCATTTTAGGCAAATATTAAATGAACAACATTATTTAATTCAATCCTTTAAATAAATAATTTTGATGCGAAAAAAATTATTAGGTTCATTCACACAGATAAAAAATAAATGCAAAATAATATATTTATATAAAAAAGAAATTTGAGAGAACTATGTTTAAAAAGATATTTTTAATGATTATAAACGTTATTTTTCAGATGATATGGGTTGTTAAGTTGATAAATAGGAGCAATAAATACTCCTCTCCTAAGTCTAATGTTAAGAATGCCGTTCTGCTTCCGTTTTTTGGTGATATGATATAAATTTGAATTTTAGTTAATTATTTCCTACATAGATGTAGCTACACTCTTTGACCTCCATATTTTGTCCATTATATCGCAAGAGTCGTTCAGCTAATATGCAACCATTGAGATAGAATAAAGTAGATAACATAAACACTATTTTGCGATATGACAGATAGACGCACTTCGAGTGACGGAAAAGTATAATAAAAATGGCGACTTGAGTCGTACTTTTATTTGAAGTTATTAATTTTATATTTGAAGACTGACGGAATGAAAATGATTTTATATCATTTAAATGGAGCTATTTAAAAAAAAATGGCAATTATTCTCAACAAAACTGACTACATATGATGTAATGCAAAGGTGCGGACACTTTAGCATCATCTTTAAGCTACCATTTGGGAACGCGAGACCGAGGCAAGCGACAGCAGCAAGGCAGCAAATATTGCCTTCCCAAATGTGTTTCATATGTGACGAGACCGTTTTCGGATTTGCTGCTTCCTGCCGTCACTTAAAGTCGGTCTCGGTCACGACTTCCCAAATGGTACCTTTATTCTACCTCCATGTAATATAATGGGTGTTCAAATTTGACATTCCGATTTAAATTGGCCGCTATTTTTGGTAATCTTCATTGACAGTATTTCTATGGTGATATATGTCAAGTAAAAACTTTGCAGATACTTGTTTTTTGGTCAACATGGAACAACTTACCATCGAAAACCCCGTTTTTATTGTAAAAACTTATTACCAAAATTGGAAATGTTTTGCTGAAACCTGCAAGAAGATGCATTACGCATTTCGGAAGAAATTTAGCACCATCTGTTAGAGTTATTAAGAGTTTTATGAAGATATTTCAGCAGCAGAATATGGGGTAAAGAAAATCCAAGAGAAATATTGGAAAAACCACTGTATCCAGTAAATGTGATTGTGTGGTGTGGTTTTTAGACTAGTGGCGTTATTGGTCCTTATTTCTTCCAGAATGAAGCTGGTGATTCAATAACTGTGAATGGAGCCCGATACAGGACAATGATTACGAGATTATTTTTGGAACGAATTAGAAGATATGGATGTCCAGAACATGTGGTTCCAGCAAGACGGTGCCACTTGCCACACATCGGATAAAACACTAAACTTTCAAGGGAGAGATTTGGCATTCGAATAATTTCTAGAAGAGCTGAGGTTAATTATTCGCCTAGGTCGTGCGACCTTACACCATTGGATTATTTTTTGTGGGGCTTTTTGAAGGGAAAAGTTAATACTAATAACCCTCAAACACCTGAACAGCTGCGAGGTAACATTATTCAAAAAAATTAAGAAATTGAACAGAACGTTAGCAAAAATGTTCTTAAAAAATTTGTAAAAAGAATGTTAGCATGCTTAAGAAGCAGAGGGCTCACATGCCGGATATATTTTTTCATTATTAACCGTAACATTTAAACTTGAAAATAATACAATATTATTATATTATTTTAAGGACTTTTTGTGTTTTATTATTAAATTAATATTTATTTCCATTTCCAAATAATGGTTGAAATAAATAAGTATACTTGGCTATTTGTTTTATTTATTTATGTTTTGTTTTTTGTTCGGAATTTTGATTTGAGTGTGTTTATTATATTTCCAGTGATTTTTTTGTGTGTGCTAAATTTGGGAGGTAAGTACCTATCTAGCACTTTTTTTTTAATAAAATATAATTTAATCTATTCTATAAAAAAATATAGTTAGTGGATTGAATGTGTCCAAAAAATCCATCGAAATCGGGCGGCAGGTCATTTCAACTATATACAGAGTCCACCTGAAACTTTCGGATGGCTTTATTTTTGGTAAAATTTAAGTTGGAATCTTGAATTTTTGAGGATGAGGCAGTGCATCAGGGCAAGAAATTCCACATACTTTTCATACATAGGTACCTTGAACAGAAATAAAACCAAAGTTTTCGCGCGGGCACCTAGTATATATTTTTTAAATTAATATAATTTATTCTTTTTTTAATTAATGTGTATTAGGATGTACATTATTATATTTAAATATTCATTTTTTAAAATTTAAATGGCACTGGCGAAGCCAACAGAACAGAATGATCAAGATTGTGCGTATATAGGATGTCTAGTAAATATACCGTTAAACTCTTAAAGGTGGTAGGGGGCACCAAAATGAATATTTTTTTGTTAAAAAAAAAAATAACATGTCTGAAAACGCTTAATTTCCGAAATACAAGGAATTTTAACCAAAAGTTACTTGTTTTGAATAAAGCAACTAAAAATAAAACTTTTATTATATATTTATATTTTTGCGAATCTTTTAGCATTAAATAAAATAATTAGTATTTTTTTTAATTCAAAGTTTTTTTTTTAGATTCAAGGACAGCTTAATATTTGTAGAAAAGATATTTGCTTCTTTAGTTTACATAAACGAGGAACAAGTCATTTTAAAAGACCAACATTTTTGGCAGAACAATGTTTTACCTAAATTAGTAGATATTTATAATCACTATGTAATGCCAGAGATTGTACTCGTATATAGAAATATCTCAAAGGGACTGAAAGCCAAAGACGCCATATAACAAAAAATATATTTTTATTGCTTAAATATTTATTGAATTTAATACAGTGTTTACTGAATTAGAAATTTTTCATTTTATCCTTCCCAATAGAGTATACGAAAGATTCATGAGTGTTATTTAGGTTTGTTCTTTTTTTTGAGACCATTAACTTTAAGGAGAAAAAAATATATGGATATCCATTTTCTCGAATTCACACTTTAACCAATTTGATACGCGTTTTAAAAGAGTATTCGACAAAGCACAAAATTTTATTAAAAATTTATCTTAATAAGAAAACCTGTATAACATAAATTACATTTGTATAAATTGTAAATATGCACAATAATAGTTTCCTCTAAATGGTGTCGAAACTTTCGCTACTTTTGCTCAATCCGACACCTATAACCTAGATCCTGAACTAAAATTCAATATGGATGCAACAATGTTATCAATTTTACATCAAATCGAAATTTATGCATTTTAAAAAGTAGGCAACATTGATTATTAAAATTTGGCAAGAATATTCAAAAAAATTATGTAGAATGCTGTAAAGTTTTTTGAACTGCATCTGTTGTGACTATCACTTTTTTGTATTTTTTGAATAGTATTTAATAATTTGCAGGACAAGTCAAATTGCAATCATTAAACATTTTAATATAAGCTGCCTAAGTATCACTCAAATCCATACATGGAAAGATAAAGCACATTATCCCTAATATGTGCAATTATTTTTTACTTTTGAAGATTGCAAAAAAATAATCCAAGCAATTTTTTACATATTTTATAATAATGCAGTTTGTGAAACTATATTCGGCAAAAGTTAAAAAATACATCGTCAGCACATTTTTCAACATTAAAAAAATTAAAGCAACTAACGAAAAATATACAACCTTTTAGTATCCAACAGTAGTTCAATGTCTGTGTGACCTCTTACCCCTGCCGCTACTGTCAGATCTCGACCTCTTCCTTCTCCTCCTATCCGACCTCGAGCTACTCGGCGACCTCCTCGATGAATACCTACTCCTAGACGAACTCCTCGACCTTCTCGATCGCTCTCGAGATCTAGATCTCCTACTCGATTTCCTATAAGAAGACGACCTCGACCTGTGTGATCTAGAATACGAGCTAGACCTCGATCTTCTCGTCGAGGAACTCTTCTTCCTACTGCTACCGGAGTCTCGTTTGGAACCGTTAGAGTCCTTTCGAGAATCGGAGCGTCTAGAAGGAGATTTGGACCACCTAGACGAAGTGTTGCGGTGTCTTTTTTCTGGGGTGATCGACCGCTTTTTCGAGGATATTTTGTAAGAGTCTTTCGAGTCCGACGAGGAGGACCTGCGGCTGGTTTTCGATCTGTTGTTTGAATAGTCACTTTCTTGCGATGACGAAGATGGCGAGCGTTGTTTTGATTTCGATTCGTGGATGATTTTTTGGGGGGACGGTTGCCTGGTGTCGTGTTGGAAGTATTTTCGGCCTGTAAAATAGGATTAGAATGATTCCAACGGTCTGAAATAGGGAAATTGAAGTTTGTTGTTTATTAATTCATAATAATTATATAACTGTCTGTAAAAAATTGACGTTTCAGCTGAGGTATATAGAAAATGATTAAAAACTGTAAATAAGTTAAAAGATCCTGACTTATTCTTATAATATTCAGTGTATAGTATTTTTAATGGAACCACCTCTGTTATATGAAATTGGTTTAACTTTATGATTTAAATTCTGATTGTATTTGCAAATTATGTCCGTTTGAATATTATAAATAAATAATTTATGCTTTATACCATTGTGGATAAGTGCATCCAAACTTTAAATGAAAGCAATTTCAGAAAAGTTTAAGATACTAATATAGCGATTGAACCATTAAAAGTTTTATACAAATGATGTTAAAATAAGTTAAACAACAAACTCCAAAATGAGACGTCTCTAAAAACAACTAATATTACATTACCTTCACGGCAAAATTGTCAAAAAAATCACTAAGTAGTTCAAATGAAACGAAAGTTTAAAGTACTTGTGTATAAAATTTTTCACTAAAAAGTACTGATCTCACTGCTTTCTAAGCCAATTCTTTCCGGCTAGTAGTAGAAAAAGACTAGCACTATCACTAGATTTATGGGCAAACGGTTATCGTTTTGCTTTTTTTTGCGTTTACTTTTGTAAAATAGAGATACTGACCTTGAGTACGCACGTCTACCTGTGAATCGTTATCGTTGGATTCCGGACTGGAAGATCTACTAACGCTTCCCGCTTTTTGACGTTCCGCTTCTTCCAGTTTGTCTTCTATCTCTCGTTCCGTTTTTTGGAAGTCGGCCATCTTTCTCTTAATGGTGTCCTATTAAGAATAATATTGTAGAAAACTACTTCTTCAAGCATGGTAATAAATGGTTCAATAACGTATTAAATTTATTTAAAAGGACACAGAAGCTCAGAAAGCCCGTTTTAAAATCTGGAAAATGTAGAGATATTAGAGTAATGAGCACAAGTCCGTTTTAAGATAAGAATTGGGGACATATAGATTGCATAAAGGGCCAACATTCATACGCAGTTTGCATAGACACTACAAAAACTAGAAATATAGAATTGAAATACGACAAAAAAAATATAGGAGTAATAATAATAATTGAAGTGAGCACAGGATGTGGAATACAAAAACAAAAGTAGTACCAGTTATAGTGGGAGCATTGGGTACAATAAAAACTGGTCTCAACAACTATCTGCAAATGCTTCCAGGCCAACCATCTAGAAACGAAGTGCAGAAAATTGCACTTATGAGAACTGCACAGATATTACGCAAGGTGCTAGGGTGAAAACCTTTGATCTCTTGTTGGGATCTGGTTTCACCAGAAATACCGGCTAAACTGTAGCGGCGAGAAGAACAAAATAATAATAATAATAATTGTTAAATATGGTCGTACAACTTTCGTATTAAAAATGCCTTCGTATGTTCAATAATAAAACAGCTATCGATCAATTACGCACTGATGAGTCACCCTGTATGTATATAATAGGCTAACATGATAGTATTGTTAGATAGGTAAATTTATAATGAATTTAATGCTAAACTGATATACATCGCAATCGAAAAAAAATTGAGTAAACTGAAATTAAAATGAGCCATATTTAGTTTCAAAACCCTCTGTATAAAATAAACTTGTTCTATCATGTCTATTCGTTAGCTTGGTATCTTATAAGCCTGCATTTTAAATAATGTTCAAATCATTGATACTTAAATACAGATAATTTTATTTGGGGTCTGTATCATTTTATAATATCACAAAAAATTAATTTCCTGGCAAAAGCGTGACACACTGTATATCCAAAAATATCACTTTTATTAAAGACTTGTTTGCATGTCTATATCACAAACTGAAATATTGAGCAATTATGTACATTATTTAATTAGAACCTGTTAAAGCCTTGCTATGTTAAATTAACAAAACATAGTATCAAAACCAAATTCATAATGCACTAATTTAAGAACTGTTTTACATGCCTACGGGGGTTATAAAGACAATTCACTGCATAGCGGCTTGTCTACATTCATCGTACCATACATTTTCAAATGACTTTACAAAACGTCATGAGCATTGGGGGAAAGAACTACTATGACGTAAATGAACATCATGGACAGCGAAAGTGTTAAGCATTTAAAAAAATTTGGCTAGTTAATCTAGACTGCACTTGCGCTTCATTATTCTCTAATCAAAATCAATCAAATCGTTCCCTGTAGTGAAGGGCAATCAATACAATTAGTTGTACTACTACACTTTGTGTCACACAGTACGAGCCGTACAATTGTACGAAGGGACCGAGCGACTTCATGTCAGAGATGCCCATGTCAGTACTATAATCTATAATCGTAGGTACATGTCATACATTTTGTATGACAAGCATAATTATGTGCTTCCCATTTCTGATTCCCAGAGGCTCCATTTTATTTCCTGTTTAGTACATATTTGCAACACCTTTTTATGTTTTACACTTACCTTTAGTTCATCATCAGAATCTCTAGTATCTCGATGATAATCGTCGTCTCTTTCTTCATCAGAACTGCTCCCGGAGTCGTCACCACCGTAGATACCCAGCCCTATTATTGGTACAAAATATTAAACTAAGGGCCAGTCTTTTCACCTCTGAATAAAGTTGAAAGTAACTACTTGCTGATTAAATTAAAGGGCTATTGTTTGTTAATCCGTCAAGTAAACCTACATGTAACTTTACTCAGAAGTGAAAAGATCGGTCCTAAGTAAATTAAAAACAGCGACGAAAATTAAACAAACAAGCCTGTGTAAAAAAAGCATGGAAAAATTATTATATCGGCTGGATTAGGTGAAATTGAAGGGGTAAAATTTATAATTAATAGTGTTTACTTAATTTTAATTGAAATCAAAAATTATCCAGTATTTGGACTCGAAAATGTTCACATGACAATGCGATCTGCAGAGTTACAATATTTCAAATGTCCTCAAATTAAAAATTATTTAAAAAAAATCATATTTTTTAAATAAAATCATTTTAAAACAACGAAAAATAATAAAAATTATCAGAATAAATAGTTACTTACCAAGTCTGCCTCTTATGTTGGCACCGCTGGGTGCTGAAGCTGCTTCTGAAGCTGAAGTTAACAACAAATTTAACAAATCGAACCCATAAAACCCTGCTAACAGTCTTAGGAATAACAGTAATCAAATAACAACCTAACCCTAAACAGTTTCAAATAATTTTTTATTGAAAATAAAATGTAATATGCTACAAAGGAGATGTTTGAGATTATAATTTGTCCTATACAGTACAATACCTTTGCGATTTTTTGTGTAACGTAGTAATTCCTCCCTACAAACAGATTCGATGTGACGGTTAGTTACGTTCAAGAGTATTTCCGTCATAGTCCTGCGAACTTTCAACATCTAAAATTATATTTATATTTTTATAGTGAATATTGTAAAAATTTAGTAAATTTACCAGTTCCTCATGTGTTAAAGGGGTGGCTTCTTCGATTTTTGGCTTTTTTGGTTTTTTATCTTCATTAGAGTTTTCTTCATCACTTTCCTAGGAAAAAATACAAAAAACATTGCATCTTGTAATAGTTTCCATTGTGAAATTATATGTTAGAAATTTCCTACACTAAGTAATTACAAATACACTATTTTGAACCAAGATATTCTCAATGCTAACAATCTGATTATTAGAAATTTTCATCTACCTAATGACAAAAAAACACAATTTTACTATTAATTTACCAAAAACCACTGCGGTTATGTTTGGCATCCTCAATGGTATTTATAGACATATAAAGTTTAAAATCATCTGCAAAAATATACTTATGTGAGTAACTTATAACCTATACTACTAGTCTGATCAAATGGTATTCAAAAGTGCCTGTTTCATAACATGAGTGCGGTAGAAGGTTTCTCAACGGAATTATATATTTTTTTGGGGTGCTGAACATGAATCTAAAGTTTGCTGCCTCGTAGCAGTGCCGCTTCAGGTCTAAAATCGCAAAAATCCTCGAAATTTTCGGAGTTTTTCTGGTTTTCCGCTCATATAATGAAAACGATGCATTGTACGGAAAATGTCACTCTATTCAAAGTTGAAGAACATAAAATTTTGTGTCGAAAAACCTCCCTAACTTTCAAATTAGACCGATTCATAAGGTCGCCATTGTCAGTCGAAAAAAGCCAATTTTTTGCAACTTTTGTGAAAACTGCAAGAAACTCACTTTTAGATGTCTGTGATGTGAAAACAACCACTCTACGTGAAAAACTCGTAAAACAAAAGTTGTAAAGTATCAAATTTTGGGTTCAGTGAGCATAGAAATTTTAAATTTGGATCAGTATACCTATACGCATATACTGATCATTTTTTCATTTTTCCTCTAAGCGCTTATTTAACTAATATGAAGGAGTTTCGCAAACTTTTGTGTAAACTGCCAAGCACATGATGTTTCTGCACGCGATGAGTAGATGCGACTTGACGTCATCTTTATATAACCAATGCAAGACTAAATTCTTGAAGACTGTCTCTAAATATCCAGACCTTGAAGAGACTGTTGGGAAATTCTTGGATCCATTGGCCCAGCCAACCGCAATTGCTGCAAAAAAATGTTTGGTGGCCCTGTACGGGGCTAACCATCTAACAACTTCCTTGAATGTGCTGTGATACAAGCAGTATGTGACATCTACCTTCAAGTTTTCCAACAACATTGCATCTATCCCTCCCACCGATGCTACAGCCTATCAGCATAGCTTGCGTGTATATTTACAAGTGCAGCAATGGCTTGGCAACAGTTTGGATCTGAAGCTGTGGGGTTGGAAGTCAACCAAAAATGGTCTGATCCCACTTACCACCCTGAAACACCTGGCTCCTGACAAACTAATGCAGAAAATATCATGCAAATGCCGCACTGACTGTGGTGGGCGTTGTGGATGCAGGCGTGCAAGTCTGTTCTGCAACCAAGTCTGCGTCAACTGTGCCGATTCCTGCACTAACTTGGATGAAAGAACCAACCTCGATGAGCAAGAAGATGGCCCTCCGTTTGTTGCACAGCTGTCAGAGGCAGGTGAGACTTCAGAAGGTAATTTATGCGTTATTTTACAACACACAAACTCAATGACATTGCTTTCAGTTGAAGAACCACCATCTCAGCCTGCCACTCCGAGTGCTAAAGAGCCTTAGCCTGGACCATCACCATCCATTGAAAACCCTAGGCCCGGACCTTCCACAGTCCCAGCCAAACGAAGGAGAGTCCAAAAAACATATAATTCTGTTGAGAAACTTTCTACCGCAATGTTTAAAATATGTTTCACTTACAATGATGTAACATTGTACAACCATTTAAATTTTAAAATTGGGATACATTGTTGCAAATTTTTAGACATAGGATAAAAGAGTATTTTTTGGCTAAGCAATAGACTGTTTTTGTAACTTTTTTTGTATTGTTATGTAAATATTTATGTTAGTAAGGCTAAGGGTAGCTGTACAGCTAATGTTCACCTTCCTGGTGTAAATGTACCTATATATGCATTTGTTTAACAAAAAACAAGAGAAAATAAAATGCCGTTTACTGCAGTGTGTTAGGTAATTCAATAAGTTTTTTTTTTATTGTGTAATTTTTTTTAAACCATTATGGATGGCTCATGCTGTCTAAGGTATTTTGGTTAAGTTTTCTTTTTATTATATACATAGGTATATAAAAAATACATGTAAGAGAAAAACTTACAAATCTACTTCTTTGTCGCTCTTTCATAGTTGATTTTAAAATTTCCATGGTATCTTGGCTTGATGGCTTGTGTGGATCTACCAGTGTATCTTTTTCCTCTTTTTCTTTCTGTTTTTCCATTTGTTTTAGTTTTTCTTTTTCCATTTTTTCTAAACCTAAATGCAACAAATTGAATACATAACTATTTTAAACAAAGTTGTGAGCTCTACGAAATAGATATTCCTCTTCAATAATTTTTGTAAATAAAAATGTTCATCATAAGTGCTTACAAACCTTCTCTAATCCAAGCTGGCAACTGCTTTCTTTTGGCTGTATCCAAAGCTGGTGGTGCAGTGGGCTGATGAATTGGTTCAAGGGGTAGAACCATGGGAGGAAGTGGAGCAGATGTCCTTATGGGTACATTCACTTTACTGTACCTCTTATTGTGGGGTTTAATATGTTTGGAAGAAACCCCAGAGTTATTCCAATATGGTGGATTTGTAGAATGATACTCACTGTTTGTACTGAAATTTTAACTCAAAGGATGAGCATTTTTAAAACACTAGTGGAATGCTGATTTTTTTTAGAACATGAAATTCAAAGCAAAGTGAAACTTATAATTGTTACTATATTAATTTCATTAAAAATAACACCAGCATTATGTGATTAAAATTAAATTAAAACATAATTTATTTATAGAGACCTACCTTCCAAATGGTGTAGCATTATCACTGCCACTTTCAGGGGGCTCAGTATAAGAGTTATTAGAAGGGGTAGGTAATAAAGGAGTCTTTGTTCCACTAATATTTGGTGCGGGAGGAGGCACAACGCTAGGAGGTGCCCAACTGTTATTCCAACTATTCCAATTTGGATTTTGTTGTGTATTCCAATTCCAAGCTTCAGACCCAGGAGGTGGAGGAGGCTCATTGGTACCCCACACCGGCGGAGGCGGTGCTTCTTTATCATTTTCAACGTCCATTTCGGCCTCACCTCCTTCTTTCGGGTGCTTCTTTTTGCTGACTATAATAGGTTGGTCTCCTGGTATAGGAGGAGGTCCAGCTTCTTTCATAATTATCCATTGCTGAGCTAAAGCTGCCCAGTCGACTTGTTCTCCAGGTACGCTTTGAAAAGATGCTGGGTTTAGAGCCCAGTTGGCGTATTTTTGGGACTCATTAGAATCGCTTCCTGAATACATAGTTTGTCCTAGTATATGCAGATGTATAAATAGAGCTTATATTATGAAAACATTTTTTTATTGACCTAAAAACCACTTCACATCGGCGAAAAACAGAGTACGAGCCAGGCCATTGATGACAACTTAGTTGACAAATGACATTAACAATCAATTTTTGACGTTTATGGCGTTTTGGAAAAATAAAAATTGTTTTTAAAATCAAAATTTGATTAAATTATAAATGGGTACTTTTGCATGGATATTACCCAGTGGGTAAAAGATTTGAGAAAATCAAATTTTCATTGTTGCTATGCTCATATGACTTCAGTAATTTGTATGGCCTTGATAATATTAAAACCATGAAAAATGCCTGACTATTCTTCTTTTTTAACATTACTACTTGTCTTTTCCATAAAATGTCCGTAGTTTGTATACAAATTTCGTATATTGGCCAATGAAAAGCCTACACCCGACAGAAAATTCATTTGAAATTTGAATTGAAAGAAGAAAAGCCTCAGAGTGTTTTATAAAAAGCCTTCTCCCATGTGAAAAGCCTTTTAGCTGTTGAGTTAGTCGAGTTGTGTGTGAGTTGGTCTATTTAGATTTTAAGAACATGAAGTAGGGAGGGAGGAGCAAAAACCATGAGGTCATGAGTTTTATGTCAGGTGCTAGCACTATATAAAAAGACAGCTTAATTTTAAGTACAATGTGATATATATCTTTTAAAAACAACAAATACCGAAATGCCCGGCATAAACAGTTATAAAGTATTGTATGTTTTAATACACACTTTATACACAATTATTGAATTTGTTTGGACTATAGTATCACATATTTATGATAGATTGAAGGTAATTTATACTGGATTGGGGAATGATAAAAAGGAAATTGACCATCTACAACAAAGACTGTCTAGGATCTCCAAAATTCCCAAACATTTAACAGTCATTCTTGGTGTAGAAGAATATACAACCATAGATTTAGCCAATCTTATATGTTGGTGCATATCTGTTAAAATTCCTTATATTAGTTTCTATGATTTTAAAGGTAAGTTTCTAGATAATTTTCTCACAGAAAAATATTGTATAATTTAAAGTTAAGAATTTATAATGTGTGTAGATTGAATTACCCTATTTTAACCTCCCTTTTTGTATTGCATTTACAGGTAACTTGAAAAAACAAGAAGAAAAACTACAAGCAGTTGTAGATTCTATCAAAGTTCCAAATGATCATATTATATGGCATAGTCAAGTAGGAACTCTCCATAAAAATGGTTTTGCAGGAAGAAAAATTCATGTAAAAATACTTACAGAAGAAGATGGAAGAGACAGTATAGTGAATTTAACAAAAACCTTAGTTTTAAATAAAGAAAAGGACATTAGTATAGAAAAAATAAATGATAGTCTTCAAAAACAATATGAGTTTCCAGATCCTGATATGGGTTTAGTGAGTGGGAGGAGGGTGCATATTTTAAATTACCCACCTTGGCAGTTGAGATTGACTGAATTTTTTACAGTAAACTCTATGTCTAACATCACATTTTCCACGTTTTTGCAAAATCTGGAAAGGTTTTCTAAATGTGAACAAAGGGTGGGTACATAAATTGTTTTATATATATTGTTTTTTGGTTATTATTGTATTTATTATTAAATGAAACTGAACTAAAAAGTTGCATCATATTTGTCTCACTAACCCTACATAGGTAATAGAAAGGTAAGGCCATTGTTTACTAGGCTGTTTTGTTAAATTAATTAATTTTCATGTTTATGGCTGTTTTAAATATACATTCAAAATAATAGAAATGAGAGTATATGGTGTATGTTAATCATTAAATTTTCTCATTTGTCTGATCTTTTCTCTCCCACTCTTATTAGGTTACACATAATTTGGGGTTATTACAAACAACAGATACATTTTAACTCATATTTCTATTCATTAGTAGACCATTATGCCTAATCTGATTTTCATAATTTTCTAAAATTCCTCTTAAACAACTTTTTTCTTTGAAATTATCATGTTTCATCATACAATAAAATTATGTTGCATTAAGCAGCTTGCTAACATTTTAACAAATTACCTATTTCACAAGTTATGCTTGTTTAAACAAATTATTTATTATCCACACAGAGAATTCTTGACTGCACTGTGGTAGGTATTGCAATATCTAAAATAGCCAACATTACAATTTTTTATAATTTAAAAATCTCCTATTTAAACTAAACTGGTTGCATTTTTACTTTCCTATCTGTATACAGATATAAGGAAAGTATAGGAATCATGATTTTTTTCGACCTCGAGTTTTTGACGGAATTTTACGTTTTGAGGTCCCCTGAATCCGTTTTGACTATTTTCGCGATGATGTCTGTGTGTGTGTCTGTATGTCCCATAACTCATGAACCGATACACAGAAAAACACCAAATTTTAAACTTAAGCTTTATTCCAGCGTCTAATGAACTGATTAGATTTTGGGCAGAGTCGGAACATATGGGGGGGGGGGGGGGGGGGTACTGTATGGGTGGTCATTTTTATATTTTATGGAATATATATGTTATTTACGTTTGGAGAAGAAAATTCTTCAAATAAAAGTTACTTCTAATATAATTATCTATAATTTTTGTTCTATACAAAATTTTCCTAAAATGGTCCGTATTCGAGAAATTTGACAAAATGTAAAAAAAAAATTTTTTTATAAAAATTGTTCAAATAAAAGTTGTTTGTAATATAATTCTCTATAATTTTTATTCTATACATAATTTCTCTAAAATGGACCGTATTCGAGATATTTGAGAAAATGTGTAAATTTCGAATTTTGAAGAAAACTCAAAAACGGATAAAGAAAAAAACATTAAATTTTAAACTTAAGGTTTATTTCGGCCTGACGTGAAATGATAAGATTTTGGACAAAGTCGGAACATCTGGGGGGTACTTTATGGGAGGCCGTTTTTATATTTTACGGAATATATCTGTTATTTATGTTTGGAGAAGAAAATTGTTCAAATAAAAGTTACTTCTAATATTATTATCTATAATTTTTGCTTTATGTCAAAATTTCCTGAAATGGTCCGTATTCGAGAAATTTGACAAAATGTGCAAAATTCTGATTTTTATGAAAATTGTTGAACTAAAAGTTGTTTGCGATATCGATCTCTATAATTTTTGTTTATACATGATTTTTCTAAAATGGACCGTAATGGAAAAGTGCTAAATTTAAATTTTTCAGTATTTTCGTTTTCAATGAATATCTATAGAAAAATGTTTCGAGGTAGATGTATGTGGACAATGTATATATTTAGTTTATCCTCTAAACATTTATAGAGATGCTGCAATAGGTTGTACAAAATAACCGGAAAAAGCCTATAATAACTAGATAGGAAAGTCATGTGTTGGACACATCAGATTTTTAAAGTTTATGTTTTGACCACATATTTTGCTGAAGCATCTAAGCTCTAGGGAGAGATACTAATATGCGTAATTAATTAATTTGTATTTTTAGTGTTTCTTACTTTTCATATTGTTCAATTTTTGGAATTTAATTTTTATTTAGTCCTATTGACAATAACCTAAAAACTTATTTGAATAAGAATAATTTCTTGACCATAGCATAATTTTATATAAATAAAAATTTCCTTGGTTTATTCCGTCGTTTTTATTTTCTATTGCACAGCACTACATGTTTCGGAAAATTTTTCCATCTTCGGGTGCAGTCAAAATTTATTATAACTTGGGGACGATTACAAACAATTTAAAATAACAGAAACCCTATCTTTCTGTTTCAGGTAAAAATAAAGTATGGCATAAATAAACTCACTCATTATGAAAAATTACATTGGTTACCATTTGAACGTGGATGAATCAAATAAATGTTCCCAAAATCACGATCCCAGATTTAAATATTAAACACATGAAAATCCTTTAAAAGATGTGGTCACTTGAACCCGTTTCAATAGAAATAACAACAAAACAGTCCCTCATATGAGCAGCGCGATTAGATCAGACTGAAACAGTGCCTTATCGAAATCGCGTATAATAAAACGGTACGTTTCGAAATAGTGGCTCCAGTGAACTAGAATGCCCTGTGCGGCCTGGAGCCGTAGCGGGATGCGCCGCAAAAAAATTAAAAAAAAAAAACAACTAAATTTACTTAACCTCTGTGCGGCCTCTGGAGCCATTTAAATTTAATCAATTAGGTACTCACGTACAGGTTAAGTATATTATCGTCAGTGTAATTAATAGTACGTAACTCCATTTAGGAAAATTTTACAGGAGAGGTTTTTATGAGAATTAATAATAATAATAATACTCTCCCTAATTCACCCCCTTACGAGTGAATTTCAACCCCTGAAGTCGACTGAACGACTTGTGTAGGGGAAGGGACGGCTATTATTATTATTATTATTATTATTATTTGCCGTGGCGCTCCGGGGCTACTTAAAGATGATTGATGGTGCCATTTGACTTACAGGTGAGGAAAACCTCACCCACCATCATCGAGACGGTAATGTATGGCGAATTTTTTTAATCTGCATGTCATATCAACAGAAATTGAATTTCTATTAATACGCCACATATCAAATCCTAAACCGAACCATGCAATTTAATTAAAAATCCACATGGTCCGGTCTGGGACTCGAAACCCAGCAGTCTCAGACTCATAAACTTGCCTATAAATGAATATAAGCGCGATAGACCGCTACACCACCGTACCGATATACCTAATTAGGATGAAAAATAAAATAAGCAATTCTCAGATGGTAAATCTGCCATTTTGGTACTAAATGGAGTTATAATCCGCGTTTCAGAAAAAAAGTGGAGTTACGCATTTTGCTATTTACACTGAGATAGGTACTACGTTCATGCCGCGAAAAATACTTTTAAATAATTAGGCATTCCAGTGGGAACTGACAGTTTAGATATGGCAACCCTGTGGGCCTGTTGTCATTGACAGGATCAAAGGTATAGCAGGCTTTAGCAGGCCTAGAAGTTGGAAAGGCTTTTGCCAGTTCTCCCACTTTATACACATACATTGACAGGTTTGCGGCGGATTTAACCGAAGTGGACGCGATACAATGGCGTTCAAAATTATTTTATAGATGTTAATAACAATTTCGAGTAAATAGTTTAATAAATTGTGTAATGAAAACCTTTCAAACTGTAGGCTTTTATTCACTAAATTCAAACGTAACAGATTTAAATTGACAACTACTGACAGATAACTA